TGTCGCATACATACATACATACATACATTCGTACAAACAAACAAACGTACATACAAACTAACATTGATAAACATATACACATACACGAAGATGCATATAAACACGTACACACATACATAAACACACACATTCACATACACACACATACATACATACTTATATACAAACAAACATATATACATATATACATACATTCTCACGCACAAGCTCCTATAGCTACATAAACATCAACCTCAATGGCATTAACATAAACATACTTAGCTATTCATCGCTTGCATTTTCTATGTACACACGTACATGTATGTATATTTGTATGTATGTATGTATGTTTGTATGTATGTATGTATGTATGTTTGTTTGTTTGTTTGTATGTTTGTATGTTTGTATTTTTGTATGTATGTTTGTATGTTTTTTTTGTTTGTGTGTACGATTTATATAGACAGAGCATTGTATATTTTTTTGTATATTCCTGTACGTCTGTTTGTTTTGTTTTTGTGTGTTTGTATTTTTTGGTTGCGCAATACGTACATACATGCATACGAACAAACACACACACACACACACACACACACACACACACACACACACATACATGCATACAAATACATATTTTAAACAGACATCTTGTATGAATTCATCTTTATGTACAGAATTATACACGTGTATGTGAGTGCATTATTGTATCTTTATACAAAGCAAACACACATACAAAAAAACATACACTGTACACACATACAACAAACACGTTACATACATACAAACACCCATTACATACAAACACACAGATAAACATAAATACACACATACATGCAATAGTTTCCAAAGTTTCAAATCTGACGTGGTTCAATTAGAGATTACTGCTTGTATGTCTGGTCAAACATTAATACATACATACATGAAATAAAACATACATACATAAGCACATATACACACACCAACACACACATGCACACACATACACACGTACATATATACACAGACACACGTACCTGTCATCTTGAATATATACATACATTCAACTTATGAAAAAAGTAACAAAAACATTGATGCCTCTATTCAGTGCACTGAATAAATGTGTGTATGTCTGTACGCCTCTTACTATTCATGTGTTGTTTTTGGAATGTATGTTTGTATATGTATGTATGTATGTTTGTATGCATGTTTGTGTGTATACATATTTGTTTATTTGTTTGTATGTATGTATGTTTGTTTGTATTTATATTTGGGTGTTTGTATATATATTTAGGTATGTATATGTATGTGTTTATATGTATGTTTGTTTGTTTAGTTGCATGTATGTATGCATGTATTTGAAACATGTATGTATGTTTGTTTGTATGCTTGTTTTTATATTTATGTATTCCTACTCCTGTTTACATGTGAATGATGCTATATTTTGAAAACAACAACAACAGCAACAACAACAACAATAGCAACAACAATGACAACATCATCATCATCATCATCTTTTTTTATTATCACAATCACAATCACCATCGTCATTACCAACAACAACAACTTTATGACCATTAATTAACTACGATATTTCTATTAACAGACTAGCCATAGTAGTAGTTGATCATCATCATCAACAACAATAACAACAACAGCAACAACATAAACATTATCTGAGCCAACGACAACGACATCAACAAAGTCACAAACAACGACACTGAAACAAACCCACAATAAGCAACGAAGACAACAACAACAACAGCAACAATTGCATCAGCACCAATAAAAACAACAACGAAGTAAATTTCTGTCACCATACCAACGACATTGTCTACAAATATCTAGAGAGAAACATCAAATAAACAGCAACATCAACAACAAAGCATCAAAAATACAACATCAACAACAACTACAACACCAACAAAACAACAACATCAACAACAACAACATCAACAACAACAACATGTCGGAGAAGAAGTTGAAAACATTGGAGCTGGAAACCCCGTCAGAAATAATGATCAAGTTATCTAAAGTCGAACCACAGAAATATGGTCAGTTCATTCATCCATAAGTTCATTCATTCATTCATTCATTCATTCATTCATTCATTCATTCATTCATTCATTCATTCATTCATTCATTCATTCATTCATTCATTCGTCGATCCGTGCACAGGGATTTGGTGCAAGGAGCCGATAAAGGTGGGAGCGAAATTTGGTCCTTTTGCAGGCGAAAAAGCGTACGAGGTAGACGAAACTATGGATCCTGCGTTCATTTGGGAGGTCTGTGTTTGTTTTTTTTTTTTTTGTTTTCGAGATGTTCGTTCGTTCGTTTGTTCGTTCGTTTGCTCGTTCGTTCATTTATGCATTCATTCATCTATTCATTCTTTCATTCATTCTTTCATTCATTCATCCATTCATTCATTCATCCATCCATCCATCCATTCATCCATCCATCCATTCATTCACCTAGATAGTGGACGTGGAGACGAAAGAATTTCTGTTCTACATAAACGCCACCAACCCGCGCTACGGCAACTGGATGCGCCACATCAACTGCGCCAGATTCCTCGAGGAGCAGAACATTGTGTCGGAGCAAGAGGGCATTGATATCTATTATCACGCCATCAAGGTATGTTTGTGTGTACGTGTAATGAGGCTGTGTTTGTGTGTTTGTGTGTGTTGTGTTGTGTGTACTTTTAAGACTGTGTTTGTATGTGTGTGTGTGTGTTGTGTGTGTGTGTTGTGTGTACGTGTAAGACTGTGTTTATATGTGTTTGTACATATGTGTGTGTGTATGTATGTGAGTATGTGTGTGTGTGTGCAGTGTGTATTTGCAAGTTTCCATATGCCTACGTTTACATTACATTGCGTGCGCGCGCGCGCGTGTGTAAGATGTATAAAGTATACAATATATACAAATCTACAAACAGCCACACATACAAACATACAAACAAACAAACATACAAATATATATACAAACAGGACATACAACCGGGAGAAGAGCTACTAACCTGGTATGAAAAATCGCCTGTTAGAAGAAAAAAAGGAAAGAAAAAATATTTTCCTAACGGTAATAATTATTTATTTATTTATTCATTCATTCGTTCATTCATTTATTCATTCATTTATTCATTTATTAATTAATCTATTTATTTATTCATTCGTTCGTTCGTCCGTTCGTTCGTTCGTTCGTTCGTTCGTTCATTCATTCACTTTTTTGTTGTTGTTTATTTTACTCTTCTGTCAAGGCAACTGTGCGAACGTTTAATTGGTGTTTAATAAGTGTCTAACTTCCGTTTAAAGAAGTTGTGTGTGTGTGAGTGTGTATACAAGTATGTATGTATGTATGTATGTTTGTATGCCTGTATGTTTGTTTGTATGTATGCATTTATGTTGGTTTGTATGTATACATGTATGTTTGTTTGTTTTTATGTTGTATGTTCGTTCGTTTGTTTGTATGTATGTATGACATGGATGCATATGTTGTAATGCTAATATTATTATTTTCAACGTCATCATCATCATCACCCCATCATCATCATCATCACCATCACCACCATCATCATCATCATCACCACCATCATACCATCATCATCACCATCATCATCAGTCAAACGTGCACGTACCGGGGACGAGTTGAAGGTCGTTTCAAGGTCAACAAATGAAGAGGTCATGTCCTCCCGCGGTCGCAAGCACATGGTCAGGAAAGTTTGGCGGGGTGAGGATTACGTATCAGGTTGTTGGAAATTTCGTTGATTGGTTTTTTATTGATGAAATTTTAATCTTTAATTTTTCGTTATTGAAAAATTTTATTATTATCATTACTTCATATCATCGTCGTCATCATCATCATCACTACCACCACCATCATCATCATCATTATTTTTCATCAGACGAACCACTAACCACATCATCATAAACCCATCACCTCATTACGTCACAGGAAATGATGAAGACGACGACGACGATGCAAACTACGAGGATGACGACGATAACGATTGGCAGATTCGTAGAAGTAGCTACCACAACAGCGGCAGTAGCATCAACGCAGCTACGACAGCAGCCACATCAACTCCTCAATCGTCCTCACATAGGAGTAAACAACACGCCAAGGCAGCAACTTCTACAGTTTCAGTTGCGTCTGGAACTATCATAACTGCGACTATCACGCGACAACAACAGCAAGAGATGAAAATAAATTTGGACAAACCAGTGGCCAACAACACAACCGCCACAACAAACACCAAAGCGCCAGCAACTGCATCTCAACTGAAAAACACCAACACAGCATCGACAACAACAACAGCAGCAGCAGCAGCTTCAGCAGCAACACATTTCAACTTCGAAACCATGGTCGAACATGGTGGGAACGGGACAAGCACGAGCGCCTGGAAAATCGGTCGTCGCGTTTTTCGCTGCGACATTTGCTCCGGCGTCTACAGACACAGCTTCAGCTTGAAACGCCATTACGTCAGATGTCACGTGAACATCAAATACCTCACCAACGTCGACATCGTCACGTGTGGGGTCCAGCTGCCTAAGCCGAAGAAGTCTGCAGATGGTGCAAGTGACAGTGGGGGATCGTTCGTCGATAAGAACAGCGATGTTACTACCACATACAGTAGCGAGCAGGTGAGTCGACGACCTAGATGAAATGTTACTTTTTCGTTGACTTCTTTTGTCACCGTTCTTATTGTTTTTTCACTTTCCTCTCAGGATGAATCGAGCATCGCCGGAGAACTGCGTGACTTGGATGATGAAAATGTTGAAGATGATGCTAACAACGACGACAACAACAACAACGTCAGCAGTAACATTAGTGACAACAAGAGTAGTGCCGATAATGCCGACATTAAGGCACAGCACAAAATTGCTGACAGCAACAACAACAGCAACAACAACAGCAGCAGCAGCAACAACAACAACAGCAACACTGTTCTGACTGCAACGACGACGACAAAAGCAACAGCGCAAGCAACAACAATGCCAGATTTATACAGATGTAACATATGCGAGGAGTTCTTCAATCAGAAAGTTGAACTGCGAAACCACCTGGCCACCCACCTTGACTGTGAACTGACTCAGAAGCAGTACTCCTGCAGCCACTGCAAGATGAAGTTCAAACACCGACAGAACCTACTCAGACATGAAGTTGTTCACACTGGTTTGTATATGTTTGTTTGTTTATTTTTATTTTTTTGTATTTGTTTGTTTGTATGTGTGTTTGTTTGTGGGCTGATATTATTCGTACAACCCTACCGATCAGGAGCCAAGCCTTTTGTGTGCAAGCAGTGCAACAAGACCTTTCCGACGGCAACCAATCAGAAGCGACACGAGCGCATACACAAAGGTCAAAAGTTGACCTGTGACCTGTGTCCCGCCACCTTCACGCAGACGGGTGACCTGAAAAAACACGCCTGCAAGCAGCATCCTGAATGCTACAACGAGTGCGCATACTGCACAAAGTATTTTTCATCTGAGATCTCACTGAACGAGCATCTATCGAAGGTGCACAACAAAGATATCGAGGCGAACAAGAAGAGGTTCTGTGTTAAGAAGAAAGCTAAAAAGGTAATTAATTTGCTCTCCTAACTGAATTATATTATAATTTTTGCATTTCAGTTTCATTTTAGATCCATTTTTTGTACTTTCTTTAATATTTTCCTCACACACCTCCAACTGATTCGCTTCTTCATTTACAGATGATCTTGGAAAGAGATCGCGCCGAATCGCGTCGCCTAGCGATGAAACAGGACGACGAGCGATACAGACAGCAGCAGCAGCAGCAGCAACAACAATTTGAAGACGCCTACGCTTGCACAGTGTGTCGCAAATGTTTCCAGAACTACTCGAACATGTGCAGGCACAGGCGTTTGGCTCATTGGCGGGAGGTTAAAAGTGAACCTTGGATAAATATCGACGATCTCGACGATAGCTACTTTGATGATGACGTCATTGTTGACGCTACCGGGTGCGGAGACGTTGGGGGTGGAAGTAATGGGGTGGGAGGTACAGGGTCCGGTGACAGAGGGGGGAGTGCCGTCTCGACAAGAAGCTTTGATAGGCTGGAATCTATGCAGGGCTATTACTCTAAGGTACGTTCTTGCTGCTCCCGAGAGTAATAATTGTGTTTTTGTTGGTTTGTATTGCTTCCTCATATGATGATAATCGTCAGTACAATCAACAATCACAAAACAACAAACTTTACATTTCTACCTTTGCTAACAACTGTTACTCTGTCAACGACAACACCAACAACATTTACACCAACAACATTTACAACAGCAACGACATTAGCAAAAACAACTAAACTCACTCCATCATCCCACGCAGGTTTCCAGTAACATAGCAACAAACTTGGAGAACTTCCTGGAAGGAACCCAGGAACAACTGGATAAGGCCAGCTGTCACATAAGATGGAAACAAAAAAACTGGATCAACACTGATAAAACCAAACTTCCACAAAACAGCAGCTCAACCGTTCTCAGCAGCAGCAGCAGCAACAGCAGCGGCCACAAAAACGCTGATTTAAATTTAGAACATTTTAACTTTCCTCAAGGATTTCAAATTGTCGAGAGAGATTGCAGCGTTGTAGAAAGATCTGAGCTACATGCCGAGGGTGCCGAGAATGAAGAAAAACCACTTGTAAACTTGTGCGCTGACAACAACGTCACAAACCACAACAACGACGACGACATTAGCAGCCACGTTAGCAACACCATCACCAACAACAACGGCAACTATTTGCTACATGACTATAGCAAGCAAGCGACAGATGCGTCCAGAAAGTTGGATGAAATTTTGAATCTTTCGAAGCACGTGGCTTGCGCATACAACTCCGACCTTCTGCCGTCTGAGGCCGTTTGTCTTGTGGACTCTAACGAACCGCTGGATCTTACCAGCAGCAACCACAGCAACAACAGCAGCAGCCACAACAACCACAACAATAACAGTAACAACTGCCTCAACAGACCAGCAAACGATGAATCGATAAACCAATGCAGCAAGACTAACAACGTAAAAAATGAACATGACATCATCGTCAAGACCAGCCACACGCAGCAGCAGCAGCAGCAGAAAAAGTTTCTCTGCCTGGTCTGCTACAGGGACTTTCACGACAAAGATTCCCTGCTGGAGCACCAGGACACCAGTCACGTGAATGTAGACAGTCGCCATGCCGAGGTTGACCTAGATTTCAACGCCACGTGGTACAAACAACCTGCCCTCGTTGGCCTACTTAATGTTATGTCTAGTCGTCTGCCGATGATTGATGATGGTGATGATGATGACGTTGGTGGTGATGATGATGACGTTGGTGGTGGTGGTGTCGTCTGCCAGGCTGCTGAAGTTGAAAGTAGCGGTGGTGGTGGTGGTGGTAAGGATGGTCGAAGTGGCGGTGGTGATGAGGAGGAAATGGATCACGTGACGGTACCGTCAAAGCAACAAACATCATCATCATCTCTCAACATCCAGTCATCATCATCATCATCACCACCATCGGCATCATCATCATCACCACCATCGGCATCATCATCATCAGCAGTAGCTGCAGCACCTCAACAAATGATGGCTACAACATTGGCAACATCATCATCGTCATCATCACCTCTGGCAACATCACCAATGACGTCACAAACAACGTCATCAAAGGGTGTCAGATGCACCAAATGCAGCCAGCGCTTCTCGTCTCGTCTTCAACTTCACCGTCACATCTCAGACGAATGCGGAGACTACTGGAAAAAATTGAGCGAACGTGTTTCCTGGGTGTTTGTTCTCAGGGGCACGGAGATCCCTGCGCACCCCCTTCAATCGGGTCAACAGGGCTCTAGAAAGCGCACCAACAGTTCAAAGAATAACGGTTTCTACAACAATCACGCAACGAGCAATCGTTATAGCGAGGAGGCGAGAAAGAGACAGCTACAACGCATGATCATGCAGCAACACATCGGCGTAGCGGCAGCTTCTTCTGCTACCACTACTACATCCAACAACATTACAAGTACTAGTGGCAATAACTGTCTCAACAATAATCGCGTTCTAGTCAGAAGCAATAGTAGTAACGACACCGACGCTTTTGCTACAGCTGCTACATTTGCTAGCAACAGCAGTAGTGCAACTGCTGCTGCTACTGCAGCTGCGACAGCTGACGCCAGCAGCTCGGACAAGGTGTTGACGAGGAGGAGGAGCCTGGAGACTGGAGCTGTCATCATGGATGCCTTCGATGACCCTGATTATTTTGTTAAGAGCAAGAGGAAGGCAGTTATGCAGGTTTTGAATGTGTTTGCTGCTTGTTCATATTTGTTTGTTCATGTTTGTTTATTTTTTTGTGTTTGTTTGTTCATGTTTGTTTGTTTGTTTATAGTTGTTTATTTGTTTTGTTTGTTTAAGTTTCTTTTTTGTATTTATTTTGTCTATGAGTCATGTTTGTTTGTAGCCAATGATTGATTTAATATCTGTATTTCATGACTACAGCAGCTCATACAGCAGCAACAACAACCACCAGAGCAACATAGCAGCGGCAAGCAACAGAGACATCAACTGGACTCCAACAACAGCAACAACAGCAACAACACATCAACATCGGAGCAACAACAAAACGATGACGACGATGATTTCAACAACAACAAAAACAACGGCGCCTCAACTAAAGAGGAGGAAGATGAGGAAGATGATGAAGGTTACGACTATGACCCTTCCAAGTACATGTGCATCTATTGCAGACATCAGTTCCTGTATACGAGGACACTAAGGAAGCATGTGCTGGAGTTCTGCCATGCCAGGAAACAGTTTGTGGAGCGCGGTGAGGCCCTGGATGATGAGTGGGAGGACGATTTGGCTGCTAAGGTAGTTGCTGTTGCTGTAGTTTTGTTGTTGTTGTGGCGCTCGTTTCGTTCTGTTCTGTTTGGCTGGGGCTGTTGTTGTTTTGGCTAATGTTAATATTAATATTACCATCATTGTTATTAAATATAATTAATTAATAATAATTATAATGAATTATTATTAAATATAACTAATTATAATTAAATATAATTAATTATTATTAAATATAACTTCATAATAACTTCATAACCTTAGGCACAGTCGTCATCGACAGCCACCTCGACTTTGAACGCCTCGTCAATGAACGCCTCGGAACCGACTTCGACTGCAGAGGAAGCCGAAGAAAGTAAGAGATCTCCAGTGAAGAGGAAGAGAAGAAGAAACTGGACGAGTAGAAACAACAGCAATAATAATAAAAACAACAGCAGCAATAACAACAACAATAATAATTTTTATGATAATTATTTTGCTCATCCTCTTGATGCTAAAAAACAGCAGCAACAACTGCAGCGACAGCAGCAGCAACAACTGCAGCGACAGCAGCAGCAATTAAGTAAAACAGTGCAACAATTACTCTCTGGTCAAATTAAAATACAACCTAACCTAAAAGATGGACAAGGTTTCGCGGCAAAAAATATTGCTCCCTCAATAAAACCTGCACCCTCCTTGGCGAAATTGGTCGCTCCCTCGACAAAATTGGTGGCCTCCTCAAAAACTGCAGTAGTCCCGGCGAGAAACGTCGTTGCTGCCAAAAAAACTTTTGTCGCCCAGGTCATTAAACTCCCTCCACAGACGCCACCCATCATGCCTCAACACCAAATCATCAACAAATCCGACATCACTTCAACAAAAATTGTTGCCGACAACAACAACAGCAGCAACAACGACGACGACGACAGCAGCAACGCAGCGGCAGCAGCAACAGCAACTAATGTGGACGATGATGTTGCTTCAACATCGTCACCATCGTCCTCATCGTTGCTGATGACGGTCGACGATGATGAAGATGATAACAATGAAAAGTTCGCTGAGAAGACGGCTGCTGCGGGGAAAGCAACAAAGAAACGCAAGGGACCCAGGCTGACGATGGTTAGGAGGAAGAAGAAAGCCGCAACTTCTGCTGCCTCTTCAGCTGCCGGCGAAGTTGTCAGCGCGTCTAGCTCGTCGGCGTCACTAAACTAATAAAAACGACTAACAAAATTTACGTCAGTCATAATGACAACAACAACAGTAACATCAATATCTAGAGATCTAGGACATCAACCGTGTTAATGGCATTAATATGACATCATTAAGAAAGATATGCTTGCATGTATATCAGTGTTAAGAAGAGCAATAACAACAAGAACGATTATATTAACATTAATTTCTCGATTTCTTTCAAATTCTCTTTTAATATTTTACATATTTGGCACTTGGTGCATGTTACTATTCACCTGGTTCTTCATTCTCCGCAAATGCATGTTTCACATGTAAATCTTTTTAGAAATTTCTTTCTCATTCGTTAGTGGTGAAATTTATTTGATGTTCATTCAATTACATTAGATTGATTGATTGATGGATTGATTAATCAGTTGATTGATTGATTGATCAGTTGATTGATTGTCTGATTAGTTTTTTTATTTTGTCAAACAATCAATTCATTCATTCATTAATTCACCAAGATTCCAAATTCTAGACATTCGCTCTACCATTCATTCACTTAATGAATCAATGAATAATATCTCACTAAAACGTTTGCGTTTTGTTTTTATTTTATTTTATTCATTCGTTCATTCATTCATTCATTCATTCGTTCGTTCATTCATTCATTCGTTCATTCATTCATTCATTCATTCGTTCGTGCGCATGAGAAAAAAATGAATGAAGCTGGATGAGACTTCATGATGAGTGATTTTGAGAAACAATTTCTTTGTAAATAATTTTGTAGTTTTTTTTTCTAGAAAAGGTGTTAGTTTATTCATTTAGCCATTCATTCATTCATTCATTCATTCATTCATTCATTCATTCATTCATTCATTCATTCATTCATTCATTCATTCATTCGTTCACTCACTCACTCACTCATTCACTCACTCATTCATTCATTCATTCACTGATTCATTCATTCACTCACTCACCTACTCACGCTCTTTTTAGTTTTGAAATATTTTTTCATTGGTTTAATAAATGATCGATTGCTTGATCTAACAATCTTCAGTTTATTTGATTATTCAACCGTTCATTCATTTGTTCGTTCGTCCGTTTATCGGTTCATTCATCCATCCATCCATTCATTTATTCATTCCCTCGCGCTATCATTTACTCACTCATTCTTCACTCACTCATTCTTCACTCACTCATTCACACGTTCATACATTTACTCACTCGTTCATTCACTTATAACTAAGTTAATTAGTTAATTAATTAATTAGTTAGTTGATTAATTAATTAGTTAATCACTTGGCGTTTTAGAAGAAAAATAAATGAAACTAGTTGGACTTCGTTTGTTATTTTTCATCACGAAATTATTCCAAATAGTTTTCGTTAATTACAACAGCGGCGAAGAAAAGACAATCCCTTCGAGACAAACAAATGTTCATAATTACCAATTATTATTTATAAATGTTATCTATAATTATTAATCGTTATTCAAAAGTATTATTATTGATAATTATTTCAAGATAGCATACTTTCATTATCCATCTATCTTTAATATGTACCATACTCGTCTGTTGGCGGTGGAATACCCGAACGCCCCCTTATACAAATCTTGCCTATCCGGAAGGTGGCAGACTCGGAAGTCCACTCGTATTTATGTCATACTCATCCGAAAGTCCCCCTTCTATCTATACCTACTATACTTGGTGGCAGGCCCGCTATTTCTATCTTATATAAATCACACTAATCATGGAAGCGGCAAACCCGAAAGGCCCTCCCTTCGACTATACCCTACCTCGCCAGGGTTAGCTGGTACTACCACAGTTGCAGTTGTAAACTGAGAGTAGAACAGTCAGTATGAACATTGAGAGAAGGCTAAAGATGGTGCTGAACATGATGAAAGATAAGAGGAGTTTTTGATTTCTAATCATTTTTCAGTTGCTGTTCACTTGTTTGTTTGTTTGTTGGTTCTGGGAATTAATGATTTGTTGTTGTTGATGATGATGATAATAAATAACAATGATGACGATGATGATAATTGAACGAACGAACGAACGAAAGATGCTTTAACTTCTTTTTATGGGGTCAGCGATGGATGGATATAATTTGTTGGTTTTCTTTTGTTCTTTTTCCTTCTATTGTTGTTGATGTGGTTTTTGTTGATGTTGTTGTTGATGTTGTTGTTGTTG